TGATTAGTAACTAGGGTTTGTATGGCGAGACTAATAATTGAACCTAGAAAACCCTAATTCTCAAGATAAAATAAACTGAAACAAACACTCTTCACACTTGCACCTTTAGTATAACCTCTCTTGTTGCCTTACGAATATTAGTCACATCCCTCAAAAGTGGGGATACTTTAGCAAAAGACCCTTGATCAAATCATCATGTCCCTTTCGAATAAAGATCATAATCCCTCGATGACCCTTTGAGCTGCCTAAAAAATGATCTAGCTAGTCCCTTCGGGTTACCTATAAAATGATGATAGTCCCTTCGATACAATTGCTAAAGTATACTTACTTGTTGCCTTCGATGACCATACGATGACCCTATGCTTATCCATTCATATCCAATAGATAGGGCTACCTACCAACTAATGGTATGGATAGTACTATCTCTAAAGGAGAAGGAAAAGAATAAGGAAGACTTTAGTGGGTAAGAAACTCTTAATTTCTTGTTCACAACTTTTCTCAAAAAAAATTTCACACTACACTTTCAAACAAATATTTTCAAAAATAACACTTTTTATACATTCTTGAGGACTGATACAAGAATCATTGCAAAGTCAGACTTACATTGGCGATTTCAAAATATTTTCAAACAAATCACACACGCAAAGGAAGAATTTCAAAAGTAAGTTAAGCAATTAAGTGCTCGTAGATAACTACGAATGAAAAGGGTACTAACACCTTCCCTTTTCATAACTTACCACCCGAACTCAAAATCTATCAAAGGTCTTTCATGTTCTTTTCACCTTTCCTAAATATTGGATAAAAGAAAAGTCAGTGGCTACTCTAGTTATCCGCACATTTGGATAAAACCAAAAAGTCAGTACTCTCACCGTATTACACCTCCCTTTTGGATTTTCATCCTACCGAGACACTCATTTTTTCCTAAGACGCCCTTTCAGGTTTTTAACTTAGCAAGTTGTTCTTTTATTTCTTTAGGCGAAGTTTTTCTTGACTGCATCAGCATTCATGGAATGTGGGAACTCCTGGCCATCCATAGTTTCTAGAATAAATGCACCGCCATAGAAGACTTTCTTGACAACATATGGACCTTCATAATTGGGAGTCCACTTTCCCCTATAATCAGTGTTAAAAGACATGATCTTCCTGAGCACGAGGTCGCCTTCTCTGAATTCACGTGGCTTGACCTTCTTATCAAAAGCTTTCTTCATTCTTTTCTGATATAACTGACCATGACACAAGGCCTTCATTCTCTTTTCTTCAATCAAATCCAACTGGTCAAACCTGTTCTGGACCCATTCGGCCTCTGACAACTTAGTTTCTATTATAACACGCAAAGAGGGAATTTCAACCTCGACCGAGAGCACTGGTTCCATGCTATAAACAAGAGAGAAAGGGGTTGCCCCTATTGAAGTGCAGACGGGTGTACGATACCCATGCAAGGCAAAAGGAAGCATCTCATGTCTATCCTTATAGGTAACAACCATTTTCTGGATAATCTTCTTAATATTCTTATTAGCATCTTCAACAGCTCCATTCATCTTAGTCCTGTAAGGAAATGAGTTGTGATGGACAATCTTGAATTTGTCACAATATTCTATCATCACATTATTATTTAAATTCGAGTCTTCATCAATGATAATCCTGCTTGGCACACTATCTGACAAATAAGATTGTTCTTGATAAACCGCACCACCACATGCTTGGTGATAATAGCATAAGAGGTTGTTTCCATCTATTTGGTGAAGTAGTCAATTACCACCAAGATGAAACGATGTCCATTTGAGGCCTTAGATTCAATCATTCTTATCATAACAATACTCCCACATAGAAAAAGGTCATGAGAAAGAAATAACATTGAGGAGAGTTGGAGGCACGTGAACCTTATCAGCATAAATCTGACATTTATGACACTTCTTTGCAAATTTCTAATAGTCAGATTTCATTGTCAGCCAATAGTAACCTTCCCTAAGCATCTTTTTTGCCATCGAATATCCATTGGCATGGGTACCAAAGGATCCTTCATGAATCTCATGTATTAACATGTCTGCTTCGTGTCTATCCATGCATCTGAGCAAGACCATGTCATAATTTCTCTAGTATACCACATTTTTATTGTGAAAAAAGAGTTTTGAAAAAGAACTTGACATTAGATCAAGTGTTTAAAGTTTAATTTTTGTGTGAAATAAGTGAAAGAGGTACTTGGCATTGGACCAAGCACTCACATAGTGTTCAATTAATTTTAATTTTGTAATTGGTTCAAGATTATTTTTGTCTTTTGAAAAAGAGTTATTTTTGTCATTTTTTTGGTTATGTTGTTAAATGCATAAAGGAAAGTGATAAAGGACAGTAAAGCTATGCTACTACAAGTTCATGAGAACGGGGGACATCTTACTCACAATAGGTAGATGAATCATAAATCATACATTTTCATGGAAATTGACAATATTTTACCCACAATGGGAGATGGATGATAAATCATGCAAGAATTAAAATTCATACAAACTATAAACTGTACAAATGTACACCAAGCCATGTGAAAAAAATAGATGATAAAAATGTGTATTAAAATGCATGACAAATTCTAGCTCTAAAAAGTGTTAAACTTGAGGGAAAATGTCAAAATAAATTATTTTTTTGAGAAAAAGGAAACAAATTGCTTATTCATTGTGAAAATTGATTTAGTCTTATCATGTTGCAAATTTGCTTCATGCAACACCAACCGGTTTAAATCCTAATATTTTTCTAAAAGTACTCTTGATATTGGCTAACAAGCCTAAGGATTCAAGTTTAATTGATTAACGAATCAATTAAACAAGAATGAGAAGATTTATCTAAAATATTATTATTCAACACATATTTTAATCCACGAGTTAACTAAGTCATAAATTAAAAAAGAAGTGATAACTAAAGTATAACCATGATGAAAATTAAGCCAATATTAACCAAATGGATTAAAAAAACCTTAACTAAAATAATAATCTAAAAATTAATCTCCTAATTAAAGAACTAGAAAGCATGAATTAATTCTAATCATGAATCCTAAAAAAAAAAAAAATTAAAGAAACTATCTAAAAAAACTAGAAAAATATGTATTATGCAATTAGAATGGTGTTAAATAATATTGGACTGAAAAGTAGCAATGCTAATAGCATCGGGATTTGGGCTGATGCTAAATTCTTGAAGTTAAAATATAATTTTGTTGTAGTGTGCGTGAGAAGGAGTCATATCACGACTTTCTAAAAAATAGATCTCTAATCATGAGCAATTATTATCTCTAATCGTTTTATAAACCCTAGACCCAAAATCAAACATTTATTATGCTAAATTTATATTGGATGAATTTTTTAAGGACTTACAAAAATTATACGAATATAATTTATATTGTTATAATATTCTGATAATTAAAAAATATACTAATAATAATAAACATTCATAAATAAAAATACAAGTTTTTTTTAAAATTATTTTCCCTTTCCTCCAAACTCTTAAACAAAATCTAAAATAATTTAAATATTCAATTAAAAATTATATTTGCATGAGAGAAATGAAATGAATAAAAGATTACTAGAAAATATATTTTATTTTATAGTTTGTTACAAGTAAAACTGAATAAAATTTAAGGTTACCAACAAAAACAACATTCCATACAAATTGAATAGAAATACTTAAATGACCTTACCAAATACATATTGTATGAAATTAAATAAATTACTTTAATTTTTTCCTATAAAAGCATATCACCAAATATTTATTTTATATAATTTAATAATTTATATCAAAAAAATATTAAGTTATACTCACTCAATATATACTCTTAAAACTCGACATATTATCAACTTTTTTATACATATTAAATTAATATTATTATTTTATATTGATTCAATGAATGAAATATAATAAGAGTATATCATTATAAATAATAAAAAAATGTATCTTTTTTTATTATCATTATTTTATGTCATAATAGATTAAATTGCATTGCGAATAATTTATATGAAATACTATTTGCGTTCGTTTAATATTCAAAGAATCTTTCATAATTTAAAAATTTTACCATACTTTCTAATATTCGTTAGTATTTTTTTATAGAATTTCTTTAAAACTTAAATCTTACTATAAATTAAATGCTAAAATATTTTATATTATTTAAATACTAAATTTCGTTGATAGAATTACTCCTAAAATGGATAAATTGTTTTTGTAAAGCATAATATGCTAAAGACTACAAACACGTATTTTAAATAATTGTTCAAATATTAAAATTATTCTTAAAATAATTTTTTTACCTAAGTTATGTTTTTTCTTTAAAGTAAAAGTTATCTTGTACAAATAAATTAATAAATTATAACTGTTGTGAAAAAAAATACCGGAACTGTAATAAAAAAATATAAAAACCAAATAATCTGCTGTAAATCAGTTTTCACTGCACTTGTAAATAAATATATTCAAGTTTAATGTTTGTACACATTAAATATCACCTAAATAAATGTTTTTATTTACATTTTAAAATCATTCACAAAATTAGGTTTTTAATAATTTCGTGAATACGGTATACAAAAAACTGAGAATCAATTTACTTTTAGGTATTGAAAATGAGGGAGATGATTGAGAGACTTTATAATTTTGGTGTATTTGAGAGATGATTGAAAGAATAATTAAAATATGTTATTTGTTTAAAGAGAATGATTGATTTTAGAGAGATAACGGAAAGTCATATAGAATGATGAAAGAATAATTTATGTAAGTTTATTCATAAGTATTTATTTTGATAAACATTTTGTTTTAAGTTGTAAATAAGTTGTTTATCCAAACAAAAATCATATTTATTCAAGTAACTTACACATTTAAAAAACAAATATTATTAAAATTATACAAAAAGTTGATATTAAATCATGACAATTTATTTTTACATCTGATGATGATGATTGAAACGAAACACAAAATAACAATAGAGAAATCCATAGAACAGAAACAACAATAACAAAAATCAACATGTTCTTTTAAGTGGTTTCATTTGTATCGAGTTCATTCACCTTAGAAGTGATTTTTTCCAGCATCTCATTAATATCAAATGCTAGGTCATTCAAAGCATTTGGGTTCAAAGTGTCGATAAAGTTTTCTTTAACAAGACATTGAGACAAGATCAATGACTTCTCCACCTCCCAATTGTGTTTCTCCAATTTTGCCAATTGTTCTCTGGACTTCCCAATCCTTTGAATCAAAAAACTCTCTTGGTTCAACATCTTCTTACCTTTCTCAAAATCAGAATAACTTCTGAACTTTGTAACGACTCTTTGGACCTCCCATGGCGAAGGCCAAATCTCTGGCTCCGAATGAAAATCACTATAGACTATAGCACAAGCTTCAATCCCACAAAGAGTTGCGAGTTCATCAATCTTTTTTATTAGACTCTTTTTTCTTTTGGTGTAAGTTATTTTCCTTGCAGAATCGTTGACCATAAATGCAAGTTTCACTCTCCTTCTCATGGTTTTGCGGAAAAAAACTATTGAAACTTTTTATATTTTGTCATCTATCTCAAAACATTAGCTCATTTATATAGCCTAATTTCAGGGCCTATCAAAGAAAACAAGCCATTTGTCAAGGAATCGCGATAGTTAGATAAAGGTTAGATGACTGGTATTATGACATCATCAAATTCGCTTTAAAATATATTATTATTATTTTTTATTTTTTTTAATTTTTTTTTTTAATTTTTAAAATGAGTTATATGTGATAGGAATACCTAACTCAAAGAGTTTACTTATTAAATTAAATATGAAAAATGCTTCTTATTAAGCAGGCATTGTAGGAGAAAACACAATAATGGTTGTGGTCCGTTTATTTACAACCCTTTATAGAAGATGAATAGTTATTGTTTACAATGATACTACATTTGACTATTTGAGCAAGACTATTGTAATTTTTAGATTGAAAAATCTTTTGTATTCTTTTAAATATATATTTTGCTTATAAAAAATACACATTAAAATTGTAAAAATGTTACACAAATATTTTTATATATATATATATATATATATATATATATATATATATATATATATATATATATATATATATATATATATATATATATATATATATATATATATATATATATATATATATATATATATATATACAACATATTTATATTTGTACAAGTATTTTGTTGACCTCCCCAAATTAACAAATAATATTATAAACTTTTAGTTTCGAGTGAAGAAGTTTGAAAGTCCCTAAATTAAAAATACTTCTTGTGTTTGTTAGTGCGTAAGACATTTTTAGTGAGGAGAGAAAGAGAGAATAATAAAGGAAATAAGGATTTGTATTATTCAAGTATACAAATAATGATAACACTATGATTATTTATATACAACCCTAAATGATAACCAACTATCCTTGTGGTCGACAACAATTTTCAAACATTAAACTTCTGTCGAACTGATCATAGTCTTAAATGTCCTATTCTTCGACAATGGAGATTTTAAAACCAAATTGTTCTTAGTGTCGAACAATTTCAAAACTCCATCTTTCATGACAACTGAGAAACCTTTTTCAACTAGTTGTCCAACACTTAATAAGTTTCATTTCATTCCAGGTGCATAGAGCACATCTTTGATCATAGCTTTCCCTCCATTACTCATTTGAAAGACTATGTTGCCAGTACCTTCTGCTTGCAACAAACTATTATCAGCAAGTTTTACCTTGCTCTTCTTCGACTCGTCAAAATCTGTCAACCACTCCTTTTGACCATTCATGTGGTTTGAGCAACCTGAGTCGAGAAATCAGATATTAGATTCAACATGGTTATCTGCAACTGCAGTCATAACCATCATACCACCTTCAGAATCATCTGAATCTTGGCGTGCAAGGTTTTCTCCTTCGTCCTTGCCTTTCGATCCCTTGTCTTTTCTGTACCAACAATTATTGGCCAAGTGTCCCCACTTTTCACAGTTACAACACTGCATACCTTTCTTATCTTCTTTGTCCTTTCGATAGTTTCCTCCTCCCCTTTTCGAGGATTCAGAAGATCTATCTTCGACCTTATTCTTATGGGAATTCGACCAAGACTTCTTGCCATGAATCTTATCGAACTTGCCTTTAAATTTGTTGGAACCACCATCTTTTTTACATGATTGAGCTTGCAGTGCCTGTATCGAGTCCTGAACTCCTTTCCTTTCGATAATCCTCATCTCATACGCCTCTAACGAACCAACCAAATCTTCCACTTTAGTGGTTTCAAGATTGTTGGATTCTTGAATAGCTACGATAATGTGATCAAAGTGAGAGGTCAACATTCTCATTACCTTCTCAACTATCATCTTATCAGTAATGGTTTCACCATAATCCTTCATGAGATGGACGAGTTTCTGAACCTTCGACACATATTCTGCAACTTTTTCATCTTCTCCCATCGACAACAACTCATATTGTCGACGCAAGGTTTATAATTTGACAACCTTGACTTTCTCACCTCCTTCGAAATACTTTACCAGAATATCTCATGTCTCCTTCGCTGTTTCAGCATGAGAGATTTTGTCGAAGTTAGCAGCATCGACAGCCGTTTGAATGCAATAAGCAGCCTTGCAATCTTTTTTCTTGACTTCGTTGTGGGCTTTTTTCTGTTCGTCGATTGCATTTGTAACCAATGCCGGAACTCTGTCGGTAACCACTTCTAGGGTTTCATGGAAGCCAAATAAGGATTCCATCTATTTTTTCCATCGGATCTAATTTTTACCGTCAAGTAATGGAAGAGAATTTGGAATTCCCTTATCACTATTCATCTTCGTAGCGGTTGATTTTCTTGCCCTAGAAAAACGATCTCTGACGTGAAATTCTTCAAAAACTTGATCAAGAATAATAACCGGAAGCTCTGATACCAATTTTTTAGTGCGTGAGGCACTTTTAGTGAGGAGAGAAAGAGAGAATAATAAAAGAAATAAGGATTTGTATTATTCAAGTGTACAAAAAATGATACACACTATGACTATTTATATACAACCCTAATTGGGCTTGGGCTAACACAACTTGGATTATATTAAATATTAAATCTAATCAAATCTAATCTAATCTAATTTAATATTTCAACACACCCCCATAATCCAAGTTGTCGAACATCCTCAAAAATAGTCAATCTGAACTATTCCTAAATTCTTTCTCAAATTCAGGAATCTGTCGATCTTCAATTCTTTGGTGAAAATGTCGGCCAACTGTGCTTCACTTGAGCAATGCCTAACTTCAAGTTCACCTTGATTTACTTTTTCCCTCAATAAGTGAAACCTTGCTTCAATATGTTTACTTTTTCCATGCAGAACTGGATTCTTCGCCAGATTTATGGCTGACTTGTTGTCGATTTGCAATACTAGAGGTTTCTTCACTTCGACAGTCATTTCTTCAAGTACAGATCTGATCCAAATTGCTTGACATGCAGCATAGGATCCGGCTATATATTCAGCTTCACACGATGACAATGCCACCACAGGTTGCTTCTTCGAACACCATGAGATTGGGGCACCAAATACTTGAAAGAAATATCCAGTTGTGCTTCTTCGATCTTCCTTATCTCCACACCAATCAGCATCTGAAAAACAATTAACTATTGCTTCTTTTCCTTCAGAATCTCGTCGAAATAGTATTCCATAATTTATTGAACCCTTCAAATATCGAAGGATTATTCTTGCAGCCTTCATATGTGACACTCTTGGTTCACCCATATATCTGCTTACTAATCCAACTGTGAAACCTATATCAGGTCGACTATTGCACACATACCTCAGAGATCCCACAATTTGCTTGAACAAAGTTGCATTAACTTTGTCTTCCTCTCCATTCTTCTCCAACTTGACATTTAGTTTGACACGTGAGGATGCAGGATTCGAATCATCCATTCTGAATCTCTTGAGTATTTCTTTGACATACTTTCTTTGATGTAGCACCATACCTTGCTTCGACATTTGAAATTCCATGCCTAAAAAATAAGACAATTTTCCTAGATCCGACATTTCAAATTCCTTCGTCATCAGCTCTTTGAACTTCGACAAGTTCTCCAAACTATTTTCAATTACTAGCAAGTCATCAACATACAAGCAGATGATTGTTATATCTTGTGCTACAACCTGAACATAGACACCATACTCTGATTTGCATTTGACAAATCCTAATTCGACTAAGTATGAGTCGATCTTCTTGTTCTATTCCCTAGGTGCCTGCTTGAGGCCATAGAGCGTTTTGTGCAAACTATATACTTTACTCGCTTCCTTATGAATCACAAACCCAGGAGGTTGTGTGACATAAACTTCTTCGTCTAAGGACCATTCAAAAATGTTGATTTCACATCTAGATGAAATGTTGACCAGCCTTGGTTACATGCCAATGCTACTACTAGTCGAACAGTCTCTAATCTTGCTACTGGAGCAAATACTTCAGAGTAGTCAAGTCCTGCTCTTTGAAGAAAATCTCGAGCTACTAATCTTGCTTTATGTCTTGCTATTGACCCATCTGTATTGTGTTTCAACTTGAACACCCACTTTACTTTGATAGCTTTTGTATGTGTTAGCAATTCGACTAACTCCCATGTGTTATTTCTTTCGATTGCATGTAACTCTTCGACCATAACTAACTTCCACTTGTTAATCTTCAAAGCTTCGCTATAGTTGATTGGTTCAGCACCTGCAAGTAAAGCAAAATGAACTAATTCTCCATCTGGTGTGATTTCATCATTACCCATCACTTCATAATCATGAAGTCTTATTGGAAGAACTCTATTTCTTTGAGGTCTTTGGCTTGTTTCATTCCACATCCTCTTCGACTTCGACTGTGACGGGAGTGTCAGCAATCGCTTCCTCTTCGACTTTGACTAGATTCTCAATAATTCCTTCGACTTCTACTTCATTAGTTTCTTCGTCGAAATCAAAGTTCATTAATGATTTGTTAATTGAATTGCTAGAATTCCAATCCCAGGCAGAATTTTCATTAATCACAATATTTCGACTCAACACAATCTTTTCATTAACTAGATTGAATAGTCTGTATGCACCAGTTTTATGATATCCTACCAGAATCATAGATTCACTCTTGTCATCAAGCTTCCTTCTCCTTGCATCAGGAACATGCTTGTAACATATAGAGCCAAACACCTTCAAGTGACTTACTGATGGTCGTTTGCCACTCCACACTTCTTTAGGAACCTTGTTCTTCAATATCTTAGTAGGACACCTATTCAAAATATAAACTACAGTTGAAACAACTTCTCCCCATAAAGATTTTGGCAAATTCTTTTGCTTCAGCATGCATCTTTCCATATCTAATATGGTTCTATTTCTTCTTTCAGCAATTCCATTATGTTGAGGTGTGTAAGGAGCAGTTACCTCATGATCAACACCATGTTCTGCACAGAAATATTCAAACATCTTGGATGTGTATTTGCCACCTCCATATGTTCGTAGAACTTTGATCTTCTTCTCACTCTGGTTTCGACAAGTATCTT